GGCACAGGTGTCAGTCAGTGTCACTGGTGGGCGTGTGCTGCAGCTCACGTTCCCCCTGTCTCTGCAGGGAATATGCCATCAACCTGGAGGTGGGCTCGCAGCACCTGATCCGCTACAGAACCGTGGCCCCTCTGGTGGCCTCAGGAGCCGTGCAGCTCATCTAGGGGAGAGGTAAGTGTGTGGTGGGAGGAGCAGCTACTGCGCCATCTCCCTGCCCACCCCACAGTGGGCTGGCAGGAGCTCCCGGTGGGGCTGCCTGGGCCAGGTCCCCTCTGGGGCTGGGTCCCCTCCTAGGGCCGGGGCCCCACTGCCATGGCAGGCAGAGCACAGTGGCACTGGAGGTGAGTACCACAGTGTTGTACTGCAGGGGCATTCATTACCCCCACAGCTCATCCAGTTCCTGGTTGCTTGTGACATGACCAGGATACAGCCATAGAGTCCTTCCTCTGGCATTCCTGCGTGAGAGCAGGCTGTGTCACACAGCAGTGTCTGGAAAGCTTCAGTGTGTAGCTTCTGGGATGCTTTGTTTAAGAGCAGTGGCCGGTGGCATCACTAAAATGCAACAACTGTGGTCTTGGCTCAGGAAAAAGTAGTTTCTGCTGTGTGTCATCTGAATACCCTCCCTGCAGAGGGTGACAGATTCTGGTGCAGCTTCAGGTTGCATTTTTGAGACTAGACACTGTCAGACTCCCTTCTGCAGAAGCCACTGCTAAGGGAAGTGGGACACGCAGTTCTTTTTTGCTGGTCATGCAAAGCAAGAGCTCCTCTGGCCACGCTGCCCCATGCAGGCCTCTTGTAGCTGGAGGAGAAGGCAGGATGTTGTGTGGTACCTCAGCTCAGGACCTGTCGTGTTCGTGGGCAGGCAGGGGATTGTGTTCATCAGGGCAGGGTTTCTCTTCCCTGCATGAGGAGTGTCTGGGGAGCACCTTCTCTACGAGGCTGGGGGTGACACGGGGCATCTTGTAGTGTGAGTGGCTTTGCATGTGTGCTTTGTAGTCTTCCTAATTAATCCATTTAGGTAAAGAAGATTCATTCAAGTATAGACACTAAGAGGGGTCTGGGTTTAATCCTTAGGAGTCAGTAGCATGTTCCTCTGGACAGCCCCCCAGGAAGGGCTTGTGAACTGTGCCCTGCCCATATTTACAGCCAGACAAATTCACAGAGGTGACTGAAGCTTCCAGACAAAATCCTTGTTAATCTGCTGCTGTGGAAGCGTGCTCCACAGGATCTGCTTGAGGAGTGTGTAGGTGGCACGTCTGCAGGCTTTCTCCTTGGCCCTATTCAGTCTGACTGAATGCTTGTCCAGACAGCTTGTCCCTGCCACACGGCTGCATGTCACATGGCTGCAGCAGTGTGAGTGAGAGTGCATCTGTCCTCTTCTAGTGGCTGAACTTTAACTGACCTGATGGTTTCCAGAGTGCCTTGGGTGTAGCTCATCTCTGGAGCTTGCAGCTGGCACTTGGCTGTGTCTTCACAGGCCAGGCAGGAGTGGAGATGGCTGGGATCAGTCAGGCTCCAAGTGAGAGTCAGTTGTGGCACACCTGAAAATGCTGCCTGCTTTTTTTGTCCTTCCATGACTAAATACTGGGACATCTGTGTAACTGCTAACACTGCACCTCTGTTCTGTCTGTGCTGGGGGAAGAAGTGTCCACAACTTTATTGAGAAAATGATGGTTTTGGCTTGTCCTTTTAGACAAAGGAGAGACACAGCAGTGCATCCACCTTAATCTGTGCTGCTGGGAGAGAGTGGGTAGAGTAGGGACAGCTTTTCCAGTGTCTGTGGGTTCTGCTGGTAAACTTGATGTTAAATATATTCCTTGTTCTCTGCTCTCCCCCAGGTGGAAGTAGCTTGGGTTTACTTAGTGATTAGCTCTGAAGGCAGAGTAGGTGCATGGTGGAAGAGGTCACAGGGAGGACACTGATGGTGAGCTGCAATTTCCCTGCCTGAGCCAGAGCTGCTCTCCTGGGGGTAAGAGAAACGTGGGACAACTGGTTTCGTTGCTAGGAAGACTCATGCTTGTGTTGGCTACCCCAGGTCGCTGAATTTGGGGGCTTTGCACTGTCAGCCCGAGACGATGTGTTGAAAGCATGTTTTTGCATCGTATTTTTGCCAGCTGGGTACTGGGTTCAAGCTCATTTTGGCCATCCTGTGAGAGATGTCTTGCACTGTGCTGCAGACATTCAGACATGGTGGTGATGGAGAGCCATATAGAAATATTGATAGGTCAGTCAGCTGTGTCATGAGCCGATGAAAATCTGTGCTGTCAGCAGGAACAATCAGGGCTGCTTAACATAAGTGGCTAGACAGCTCTGGGGAGATTAGCAAGGAGTACAAGGCAGGGGTGATCTGATTTAGGTGACAGTCTTTACTGTCAAGGAGTCACATGTGACCTGAACAGTGAGGGTGATTTTGATTATAGATGTTAGGGACACCACAGTGTCTCTTGCGTGCCTCGGTGTGGGCAAATTTCCTTCTCAGTGCACACATCTAGGGTAAGAAGCTTCTCAGTTGGCAGAGAATGAGCCGGGGCTCTGAGGTTTTCTCTGCTTAGACACCCTGGAAATAGCTGTCTTTGGAGAAGCATCTGAAAAGGGTGCATAAAACCAATTCAAACCTCCCCCATTAAAGACTAGGTAAGAGGAGCACACCCCTTTTTCTCCCGGTGCTGACAGTTGCCCAGCTGCTGGTCCTCCAAAAGCACTCGTGTTTTCCTGGCACCAGGACCCATTTCTGTGCTGTTCCCCCTGCCTGACGCAGCAGAAGACCGTGCTGTGCCGGGTCCGGTGCCGGCGGTCTCCGGGCCCCGGTGCCGGCGGTCTCCGGGCCTCGGTGCCGGCGGTCTCCGGGCCCCGGTCCCGGCGGTCTCTGTGCCGGTCCCGGCGGTCTCTGTGCCGGTCCCGGCGGTCTCTGGGCCCCGGTCCCGGCGGTCTCTGGGCCGCTCCCGGCGGTCTCTGGGCCCCGGTCCCGGCGGTCTCCGGGCCCCGGTCCCGGCGGTCTCTGGGCCGGTCCCGGCGGTCTCTGGGCCGGTCCCGGCGGTCTCCGGGCCCCGGTCCCGGCGGTCTCTGGGCCGGTCCCGGCGGTTCTCCGGGCCCCGGTCCCGGCGGTCTCGGGCTGCGGTGCCGCCGCCGGGCCCGGTGTGAGGGCGGCCCCGCGAGGGGGCGGGGCAGCGGCGCCCCATTGGCTGCCCGGAGCGCGGCAGCGGCGCCCCATTGGCTGCCCGGAGCGCAGTGCCGGCGCTGATTGGCTGCCCGGAGCGCGGCGCCGGCGCTGATTGGCTGCCCGGAGCGCGGCCCGGCGCTGATTGGCTGTGCCGGGCTGCCCCGGCCGCGGGCGCTCCGCCGCTCCATTGCCGGAGCCGCCGCGGCGGGAGCGGAGCGGAGCGGGCGCGATGAGCCGCGGCGAGTGAGCGGGGCCGGGCGCGGGTGGAGCGGGGGGCTCGCCGGGCTGGGGCCGCGCCGCCTGACCCCCGCTCTCCGTCTCTAGGCTTTTCCAGGTGTGCAGCGGGCGTGCTGTCGCCCCCCCCGCTATGCCCGTGGACCTGGCCGTGCGGCTCTGCCTGAGCCACTCGCCCCCCATCCGCAAGCTGCTGAACTCCTACGAGGAGCTGCGGGGCAACCGGGGCCGCAAACCCCTCCGATCCTGTCTCAACCAAAAGCGGAGCGCAGAACATGAGCCGGAGCGGCGAGACAAGGGCTCCAAGGGCCAGAAGAAGAAGCAGGTCGTGTTTGCTGATATGAAGGGGCTCTCACTGACAGCTGTTCGCTTCTTCTCAAAGTTTGAGGAGGACCTCTGTGATTTGCAGCATGCCCTGTCAGACCTTGCCTGTTTCCAACCTAAAAAAAGCCCCCTGTGGGAAGCATGCAGGTACGTATTGGACTTCCCACAGCCGTCAACAGACTATGTGGCTTTCCGCAACAGCCTGCACAGCAACTTTGTCTGCCTGGAGAGTTGTCTGATCCAGGGCCGTGCTCTGTCAGGGACAGTGAAGGTTAGAAACATTGAGTTCGAGAAGAAAGTGATGGTCCGCATCACCTTTGATGGGTGGAAGAGCTTCCGGGATGTCTCTTGCCAGTACATGCACAGCACGTACGGCTCAGCTGACACGGACATCTTCTCTTTTGAGCTTACCCTGCCTAAGCCATCCATTTCCCATAGTGGCGCAGAGTTCTGCATCTCCTTCCAGTGTGGACAAAAGACCCACTGGGACAACAACCATGGGAAGAACTACAAGATCTGCCACTTGGGCATGATCCACCCTGTTTCCTGTGCTGTGAAGAGTGCCAGCAGGGCCTGGGAGCATCTTGGCACCTCTGGGGCTGCTGCTCTAGTCCTTTCTCACCTGCAGACCTGGCGGCATTCAGACCAGGCTCCTTATTGGTAGGAAGGCAGTGTGGGAGACATGTAGGTGCCCTCCCTGTCCCGACTGGTACAAGGGTCCTTGGGGAGGGGTCAGCTGCAGAAGATGCTGCTCATGGTTTTGTTAGCTCCTTCATGGTCTGCTGCTCTGTGAGCAGCTGCCAGTTCCTGCAGAAGCTTCTTCGCTTCTTGCTGCCGCTGCAGAGGCTGGAAGCTGCTGCTTGAAGTAACTCCTGCGTGTAAGGTCTCAGGGCAACACGAGAGATGGGGAGTGACAGGGGAAGAAGGGCTGTGGGCTGGGACTGGCGGCCAGGTCTGAGCCAGCCCGGGAGCTGCGGTGGCCGGTGCTGCCCGAGTGCCTTGTGGGGGGGAGCTGCCGGGGCTCTCCAGCTGCGCTCCCGAGAAGGGCTCACCGCGGGGTTCCTGGGACCGGCGGGGTGCCTCCGGTGGTCGGTGCTGTAACGGGGAGTTAATAAAGTGACGGCGCTTCGCGACTCCTGCGTGCTCGTCCGCCTCCCGGGGGTGGGACCGGGACCGGGACCGGGGCGGGGCGGTGCTGCGGGCGCCCTCTGGCGGCGGCGGAGCGCGCGGCGCGGCCCTGCGGGCGCGGCCCCGCGGGCGGCGTGCTGACGCCACGCACGCAGCGCGGGGGCGCGCACGGCACGTGGCGGGCGGAGCGGGGCCCGGCGGCGGCGGCGGCGGCGGCGGCAGAAGAGGTGAGTGACCGCCCGCACCCGCGGGGCTCCGCGCCCCTCCCGCCCCGCTCGGGCCCGGCACCGCCGCCCTGCGCGGCGAGGCCGCCCAGAAAGGACGCGGCCCCCTCGCACGCCGTTATCCCCGGGACCGCGGCCTCCCCGTGGCGCTGCGGCCGCGCCTCGGTGCCCCCCGTGCCGCCCCCGCGCACACCGAGGACGAAAGTCGTCGGGAGGGCCGGGCCCCTGCCCTGCTCCGTGGGAACAGAGCTGAGAGCGGCCCTCGCCGCCGCCCCCGGTCTCGCCCCGGGCGGGCCGTTACCGGTCTGCAGCGCGGGCGGACGGGCGATCGCCGCAGCCCCCACAGAGCGCCGCGCTCTCTGTGCCGGCCCCGGGGCGGGGCGCGGCGGGCCCGGTCGGTCTGGCGGCTGCCCCAGGGCCGAGCTGCTGGGAGCCCGCGGGCAGGACTGCGGCACGCGTGGGCTCTGCCGTGCCGAGCTCCTCACGGAGTGGGGACCAGGGGACCCGGGGGCCCGTCTGACCAGCTCACCAGCACGAGTCCTGCTCCTGATGGGTGGCAGCTGTGGCATAATGGGCAGCTGCCTTTCCCAGTACCTTGGTCTGTGTATATGCCTTTGAAGCACTAACACTATTCTTAACATTACTGGTATAGCAGTGTTTAACCAGCAGCTGGAACATAGTGTACAGGGGAGCAAGAGGATCCTTACAGACTCTGCTTTGCCCTGTGTGCTTGTCAGGTACCTGTTAAATCCCATCCTCAGGCTGAAACTCTGTAGTCTTCCCCAAACAAACTAATTTTTTATCATAAGCCACCGTTGGTCCTGTGAGTGTGTGACCTTTGACTGGTCCCCGTGCCCCAGCAAGTTCTTCTTTGACTAATCAGCAGCAGTAATTCTCCCCTTAGGCTAACTTCCTGTCCTGAGCTGTTTGTAAAATCTGCCCTTCGTCACTGGGGATGAGACAGACCTACAGGAGCAGAGGAAGTGATGCCTATCCAGGAATCTGGGTACCTGGCTTCCTCAGTTCTCTCAGATGCCCCTGAAATGAGAGACATGATAAGGTCTTTGTCATGAGGAAGGGTTTTCTGTCACTCCTTTCCTGTACTTGAGACATGATTGCAGCATCCTGTGCCGTAGGTGTGGATCTGGATGAGTCTGCTCCATTTGAGGTGTGCATGGTATGAAAATGCAGGATGAATGGCAGCAGGAGGTGATTCCCCAGTCTGTGACAGTGACAGGCAGTAGCTGGAGTATCTGTCTCAGTCATGCTGTCTCGGGAGCTGCTCTGAATGGTGTGACCTCAGCCCAAGTACTACCTTCCAGGTTTCAGAGCCCACTGTCTCTGGCCTCCAGCCACGCTCTCTGTGTTGACATCTCTCCGATCTGCTGACTTCAGTTGCTCTCCTCCACTGCTGCTGGTGGCATGTGAGTGCCACATCTGCCAAGAAGCCAACTTGCTGTTTGAAAGCTTTCCAGGAGCACGAGCTTCATTTGTGTCTGTAATGACCCTTCAGAGTGAGTGGATGCCAGGGGCCTCCAGAACTGAATTTGTTCCAGGCGTCATGCGAGGACCCGTGCTGGTGCGCATGCCCTCGTGGGGAGAACAATAATAGCTCCACATACCGTAGGCTCCCGTGAGTGCCAACTCCCTCGATCTCCTCCAATGCAGGCTCAGGGATGGACTCCACCTTGTCCCTCTGAAGAGACTCTGCATGCTCTCAGCAGCCAGGACGGGATTCTGCTGCCAGATTCTCCACAAGCTGCCTTGCAGCAAGACTTGCTCACTGGCAGCCTGGGAGGGGATCCATTCCTGCAGTCGTGTCGCTGCTGCACCCACCACCTTCCTTTGGACAAACCAGTGTGCGTGCGCCGTCTGCTCTGAGCTCTTTGGCCTGCATCATCTGAACAACTCAGCTGAGCTCCTGGCAGGCTGTTGGCTTGTCTTCCCAAGTGCTCTGTCTGATCCTGTTGCATTCCCTGTCTCAGAGCCCCGAAAGGATATGAACTTTGGAATGGGGTCTCTGAACACGCTGCAGACTCAGTGCATGTGTGAGACTGTTGCTGAGTAACAGGAGGACTGGTTCATTGCTGCGAGCAGCCCTTCTGTCTGGCTGCAGGGCAACAGCCTTGCCTGGGCCCTTCACCATGTTCCTCCTGCTCCCCTTTGACAGCCTAGTGGTTAATCTCTTGGGGATTTCCATAACTGTCCTCTTCACTCTGCTTCTGGTTTTCATCATCGTGCCAGCAATTTTTGGAGTCTCGTTTGGCATCCGCAAGGTTTACATGAAAACTTTACTAAAGATTTTTCAGGTAAGTCATGTTTCAGAATGTTCTCTGTGTTTGCAGAGGTTTGTCCAAGCATGGAAGAGAGGCTTTTGCCTCAGATGGGGATTTTGGGTGACTAGAGAGGAAGATAGGGCTTTGGGTGTTGTGCTGCTGCCAGTTGACTTTTTTGGCTCATCTCAGCCAGATGCCATTTATGAGACCTCTGTTTGTGGGCTGTTTTTTCCCCTGTAATTAATCTAGTAAATCTTCACACAAAGCAGTAGTCCAGCAAGGCTCCGCAGTTGGCAGGAGTGCAGCAGGATTCGAGGGGTAGCTTGGAGGGGTTGGTGTCCCAGGCAAGGCAGGTGCTGCTGCAGCGGTGTCAGGTGTGATGGGGAGGGACCAGGCTGCAGCCAGCAGGCTGCTCCTCCCGAGAGCACATTTGGACAAAGCAAGAGCAGAGGAGGCAAGGCAGCACTTTTGTGCTGCAAGCTCTGACTGCTCTGTGGCCAGAGCCCAGAGCTCTCAACATGCTTCTGTCCTGGACTGTCACCTACTGAGCCATGTCTGGACCTGCCGCCTTGGAGGACAACCGACAGCCCTTGCAGACCCTCTTGGCACAGAGAGGCCAAGTGGAATTTTCCAGCTTGTTGTCATGCTGTTCCCTTGCCTGCCTTTGGTGGACTAATTTTGTGGGCTGTCTCTGAGCCAACACCTCTTGAAGCAAGTTCCTGAGCAGACCAGATTTTTTTATCTACTAGGAGTGGTTGGTAAAGCCTATACCACTCTACCCTGGCAGCCCAGGTGAAAGGCAGAGTGTTTGCTAGTGTCTTTAATGTGAAGTTCATGCTGCTGAAGTTCATGCTAAAGGATGTATGGTGTAGCTGCTGCTGCTGGAACAGGGCTGGTTGTCCCCTGAGTATCCCTGTACTGGCTGGCTTGGGAAGACAGCCCTGGAGCTCACAGTGTTAAGCTCTTTAAACTCTTGAGTCCTCCCAAAAGCCTCTGAGGTATAAATGGGAAGACCCTGGACTTTGTGAGGGACTTCATTAACACAGATATCAGAAGACATGAGTACAAATTTGCTGACTGAAGTGGGCAGAAAAAGAGTTTTAAACGGAACTTTTCACAATGTTGTCTTTTTTTCTCCCCTTTCTTCACTTCAGGGACATTTACTCTCAACACCTGTATTGTGTTTGAAACTATTTTTCTGAAAAGACAGGGAAGTCTATTCCAGCTTTTGTTAAAGGATCTTAGTGGTAGGATAAAGGAGCACTCATGCACAGCTGGTCACTGATTCGGTAGAAAATTCACTCATTAAGTTTGACCATTCAGAATTGTATTTTGGAGGGCTATTATTTACTCAAAATACTTTCCCAGCACTCAAGGCCAATGGTGGGAATGCAGAGGGGCAGCATGTGGGAGTGTGGCAGAGTCTGGAAGCTTGTAGGACACAGCCCGAGCTGCAAGGCCTGGCTGGCAGCGGCACAGCTGTGTTGGTGGGGAGGGAGGGCACCTGCCTGGTGCTCTCAGGTGGGAGGCTGGGTTTGCTGCTGCCACAGTCAGGGTGGAGATGTGCTGGGCTTGGAGGCGCTGCCTTCTCCATAGGCTGCTTTGCTCCTGCGAGGTCAGAGCTCCTCTCCTGACTTCTGGGATGGCAGCATCTAGGCAATCTTCTGCAATGCTGGAGTTCTGGCTGCTGGCAGAGGCAGCTGCAAGGTGAGCAGGACACTCACCCTGTATGCAATTACCATTCTCTCATTGCTGCCTCCTGATCTGCTGCTGGTATGGGCTGAGATTGGGATGCCAGAGTTGGCAGCAACTTCCCCTCTTCACAGATAAGCATGTTGTATACAAGTCCTCCTCCTTCAGAAGCTTGTCCTTCCAGACCTGTATGAATTACAGGCTGTGAAGGTTATTTGGAGGGCAGGCAGGAAAAGTGCACAGAAATACAGCCTGCAGTTTGTGCTGGTGCCCTTGAAAATTAGCTGATAGCACAAGTAGTCCTGCCACAGGATTTGGCAACCAGCTGTCTGAGGGTGCTTGCTGCTGCTGTTTTGGGCAGATTGCTGAGCTGAGAAGCAGCAGCAGCCATAAGCTGAATCAGGGGGGAAAGGATCCCATCCCATCATCAGGCTGATGTGTCAGCAGCAGCCTGAAAACACAGTCTCTGCTTTGAATTTGGAAGAAACAAGGGTTGAAAAGTGGCACTAGTCCCGTGACCAGCTTCCTACACTGTGGTGCAGACACCCCAGGAGGTTGCACAGCTCAGCCAGAAGCGTTGCAGTGGCAACCACGTGCAAGGTGCAGCAGAGTTGAGAGGTCACAGAAACTGCAGAAAACCTTGCTGTGCTGTCTCACCACTGAGCACTCCTCTTCCCTCTGGCACTCCCTGTTTCCCAAGCCAGTCTCCTCCACCTCAGTTCAGTTGGGTTCATCATTCACTCTTTCAGTTCTGTATGGAAGCCTCCTACTTTTGCCCCATCTTCTCCCTTCCTTGCAATATGGTCCTTCCTGGAAGTCAGTTCTAAAATGGGCAGTATTGTGGAGCTGTAGGCCTTGCCAATCTTGGTTGTCCTGTCTGTCTTGCAGTGGGCAACACTGAGAATAGAGCGTGGTGCCAAGGAGAAGAACCATCCGTTGTACAAGCCCTATGTCAATGGTGAGGTCCTGCCCTGCATGGGTATATGGAGTTCAAAATTATTTTGGGGAGGTGGGGTAAATGTGGTGTCTCTGAGCTGCTGACGTCTGCTGGGAAGTCTTTTCCATGGAGGAGAGAGTTCTAGAGAGCTCTGTTTCATGAGGGAGTGCAGGAAAGCACCCTGGGAGTGCTTCATTTCCAGGTGGTGGGGAGGTTCATGCCTGTCTGGTCTGGAGAAAGGAAGGGGACCCTGAGGAGGGCGGGTGAGGAAGGGCCTTGGCTTTTATCTCTCTTTGAGTGGGCAAGTCACAGTTTGCTCAGAGCTGCCTACGGTGTGGTGCAGGTATCATTGCAAAGGATCCAACATCACTGGAGGAGGAGATCAAAGAGATCCGCCGCAGTGGCAGTGGCAAGGCCCTGGACGCCCCTGAGTTTGAACTCTCAGATATCTTCTATTTCTGCCGCAAAGGCATCGAGACCATCATGGATGATGAAGTGACCAAGAGATTCTCAGCTGAAGAGCTGGAGTCCTGGAACCTGCTCAGCAGGACCAACTACAACTTCCAGTATATCAGCCTGCGCCTCACTGTGCTCTGGGGACTTGGTGTGCTCATCCGCTACTGCTTCCTGCTGCCCCTCAGGTGAGTCCTGGTGCTGGGACCTGTCTGCCAAGAAGGTGCTGGCCTGGTTTTGCTAGCATGTAGTTTCCCTCTTTCTGCAGGATAGCCCTGGCATTTACTGGCATCAGCTTGTTGGTGACTGGTACCACAGTGGTGGGATATTTGCCAAATGGAAGGTGAGTTCATCTTTGAGGGAGAAGCAGATGGGGAGCACTCCATGCAGTTTGAGACCTTATAATCCTGAAATTTCCCTACAATGCTTTCTGTTCTACCACCTGCAGACACAGCAGGTGGTTCTGGCAGCTGTGATCTCTCAGGAACAGGCACCCTGTAATTTTCAACAAAGGGCCTAGATGTGAACACTAAGCGGGTGGCAGAGGGCTGACTCCTGGCCTCTGAAAAGAATAATAACAGAAAAGAGCAAAGGCCAAAATTTTATTCTCATGAGTTAAGAGTCAGTGAGCATAAGCTGACAGCAAAGCTCAGTACATGCTGTGTTTCTGTAGGAGAGATGTGAAGGCTTGGCTGGATTTCACAGCCTGGGGCAGCTGGGCTGAGTGGCACTGTTACAGGGGATATTGTAGGGCTGGGGAGTGATGGTCTCTGTCCTGGGCTGCAGGTGTAAGGACTTCCTGAGCAAGCATGTCCACCTGATGTGTTACCGGATCTGTGTGCGTGCCCTCACAGCCATCATCACCTACCACGACCGGTAAGGCCTCTCTGCTCCAGGCTGTCCCTGCCCAGGAGCTCTCCATGCCAGCTCTTATGTAGGTCTCATGCTTACTTCCTCTTTCTTCACCTCTACCTTTGTTTTGCATCTAGAGAGAACAGACCCCGAAATGGAGGCATCTGTGTGGCCAATCACACCTCCCCCATTGATGTGATCATCCTGGCCAGTGATGGCTACTATGCCATGGTAAGGGACCAGCTCTGCCTGCCCAGGCCTGGCTGCCTGCATGGAGGGAGCAACAAAGCTTGTTCTGGGGCAGGGAGTAGGCAGCAAGAGTTCTTTGAGCATGTACAACTACTTAACCCTGCATGACTGGGGCGCTGTCAGACTCTGGCATGCAAGCTCAGCCTGGAACTCAAAGCACCAGGGGTCTGTGGGCACAGCTTTGCAAGAAGAGCTTTAGGCTTTGCTGTTGCTGGAAGAGCAAAGCGCTTCCCCAGCTGGACCTCCTGCCATGGGGAAAGCACTTGGGGTTTGCTGTATCTGTCTTTAGAATCAGAGCCTGTGACTTTTCCTCTTAGCCTTTGCAGGGTAGGGACAGGAAGATGAACCTTAGTTTGGCTGTGAAACTGGCCGCAGTCTTGACTTTCATGTGCGCCCAGGTTTTGTAACTTGTGTCTTCTTGCCCTGTTCAGGTGGGTCAGATCCATGGAGGGCTCATGGGTGTGATACAGAGAGCCATGGTGAAAGCTTGTCCCCATGTCTGGTTCGAACGTTCTGAGGTCAAAGATCGTCACCTCGTTGCCAGAAGGTGTGACAGTCACTGGCTGCAGGGGTGGGTCTGAAGGCTGGGGGAGGTAGAGGGCTGTTCACCTCCCTTGGATGAGGACACTGCATAGCCTCATAAGTGCTGGGAGATTGTGCCCCTGTTGTTGGCACCCTGATAGTCCCTGGTGACTGCAGGGTACGGATTTTATGCTGTGTGGATTGCTACTGAGAGTGTCTGTCCCTTCTGCTAATTTTTGACACTCTTCTGTTTAGGCTCACAGAACATGTCCAGGACAAAAGCAAACTGCCCATTCTTATTTTTCCAGAAGGTGAGTGCAACAGGGCTGGAGAAGCACCAGGTGGAGAAGACACCTTGAGATAGCACATCATCTCTGTTCCTTTCCTTCTTACATAGGCAAGGGCTTGAGACCCTCCACTGAGACAAAAGTAACATTGTGTCTTTGGAGCTGAGTGAGCCCAGAATGCAGGAGTCACACATGAGTCCCAGTGACCCATTCTGTGCACACAGAGAGCAGGGCTTGGACGGAAGTTAGGGGAGAGTTGCTGGGTTCCTGTTGCCCTGCCCTTAGGCCTGTTGAACTGACTTGCAGAGAAGAGTTAAGATTGTGCTTGCCTCTTACAGGAACATGCATCAACAACACATCTGTGATGATGTTCAAAAAGGGGAGCTTCGAAATTGGAGCTACAGTTTACCCTGTAGCCATCAAGGTATGACAAGGCAACGTTCTTAGGGTGCAAGTGTGTCTGTCCCTCTTTATCTCTGTCTTGGCAGCCCAGTCCAGCCTGGTCTGAGGGCACAGGAAAGCTGAGGTCACTCCATGGAGTGCTCTGGGAGAGCTGACCTTTAGCTCAGTTTGGGGTGGAAGTTGGAGCCTCAGAGAGGGTGCAGCCTCTGCCTGACTTTCATGAACTCTTCTGCCTTTGTAGTATGACCCACAGTTTGGAGATGCCTTTTGGAACAGCAGCAAATACGGCATGGTGACCTACCTCCTCAGGATGATGACCAGCTGGGCTATCGTCTGCAGTGTCTGGTACTTGCCCCCAATGACCAGGCAGGTAAGGTGAACCCAGCCTATCTGATGGCTTTCCTTTTGGCCCTTTGCTCCTGCTGAACAGCTCATTTTGCCACAGCCTGAAGAGGACGCGGTGCAGTTTGCCAATCGAGTGAAGTCAGCCATTGCCAGGCAGGGAGGCCTTGTGGATCTGCTCTGGTGAGTCCAAGCAGGCTTTTCTCTTCCTGGTGCCAGAGTTCCTTGTTCTGGGTCCTGGGATGTGCTCATGGGCTGTAGAGCTCCATTTGTTTCTTGCTTAGGGTAGATCAGGCCGCTGGAGGAATGTCTTCTGTAGTAGGGACCAAAGTCTTGGCTTCTTTTGTATGTTGGGCATCAGAGCTTCATTCTGTGATTGTAGCTTGCATTGGGATGCCCTGGGTTTGACTTGTTTCTACTCAGCAAGGTGTGTTCAGCTTGGGAGCTTGCTTTCCTAGGCACTGAGGTCTCAGAGCCCAGGAGGCAGGCAGGCAGTCTCCTGTAGCCGTACTAGAATAGCTCATGTTTCTGGCAGAGCTGCTATTTTGAGCACAGTTCAGAGCCATGGGGGCAGTCCTGGCAGAACCAGGTAAGAAAGTGATGCCCTCTGGGAACAGGTGGTCTTCAGTGTGCCCTGGCAGCTGTCAGCACTCACTGGAATTCTGACTTGCCCTGAACAGTCCCGGACAAAGATGGTGCCTGCCTGCAGCTTCTCTGATATGACTCTCTCCCCAGGGATGGAGGACTGAAAAGGGAGAAGGTGAAAGATGCGTTCAAGGAGGAGCAACAGAAACTCTACAGCAAAATGATTGTAGGCAGCCATGAAGACCGGAGCCGCTCCTGAGTCTGCTGCCTCCAGCACTGCCAGCGGGGCTGGCCAAAGCCCCTGCCTCCAGCACCAACCAGGGCCTGTCTGGAGCAACTCTGAACCTTTGGACTTGGCTACTCCAGAGCTGCTTGGACTCGCCTTTTCATCCTCTGGCTGTTGTTTTGCGGAGTCACTGTTGCTGCCTGGAGTCTTTAGGCCTTTGGCAGCTCATGGCAAAGATGCCTTCTTGTTACTGTTACAGTGAAGCCCCTTGCAGGGGCACTATTAAATCAAACTCTTATGGTGTCATGTGCTTCCATCTGGTGTGTCCAGCCCCAGGGAAGGACTGGTGTGATGTGCATATGTATCAGTCACAAGTGTCCCACAACACAAAAGCTGGTGAGCTGTGCTGAAATTGGCTGCCTTGACAGCCAAGGGAATCCTCATGAGCTTGTTCCCCTCATATGTGAGGCATAAACCCCTTAGGAGGAGAATGTGCTCTCAGGCCATTTTCAGATCCACATCCAGGAAAAATCTTATTTTTTGCTACCTTCCTGTCAGCTTGACCCATACTGTTGCTTCTACAATGTCTGAGTAACAGCCTCTTCACTGTTCCTGTTGTAGTAAGCATCATACTCATTGGAAATGTCCCTCTGTCCCCTGGGGCTGCGGGGTGCCAGGTGTCACTGGAGTGGTAGATGGGGTTCCTGAGTAACCTGTACATGCTATAGTGGGAGCCTAGAATGTGTAGGAGAGCCCAAGACTTCATGGCTAGGGCAGGCAAACCCCTTTTCAAATGTCTTCTGAGGGAAACAGTGGCATCTGACCTTGTCATGCACACACGTGGATAGTATCAACTTGTTGCAAGAAAACTGAAATCTTGTGCTGGAGGTGGTGCCCCTTTCTGCTGTGCAAGTAAATGATTCGGTAAAAGAGCTTGCATTTGGGCATTTTTCCCATGTACTTTCCTATTTGCCTTACATTCCTACAAACTTGAGCACTTACACTGTGTTCTCTGCTCTTACAAGCAAGAGCTGTTTTCACTGCTACCTGCTGAAGCCTGCTTGAGTTTCCTAGTGCTCTGGAGAAGGCAGTTACCTAAGTGCCTCCTTTGTACCTTGAGTGGTGTTTGTTGGGAAGGGTATCTGCTATGCCAGGCGAGGACAGCTGTAAGTGGCCTTAAATCTGAATTTTCCTGCACTTTTTTATTTACCTGATGGAACTTCGCTGCTCTGGCTGCAAGCTCAGGGGCCATTTGGATGAAGACCCCTGCACCGTGCTGTGGTCTGGGGAGTCCCAGAGGGAGCCACAGTGAATCAGTGTTGCCGAGGCAGTGCCGTGCTTGCTGTGTGCTGTGGGTGGCCCTTCCCCATGTGCCAGGCTGCAGCTGGGGACACACCTGCTAGGGACATGGACATTGCTGCCTGCTGATCCCTGCTCTCCAGGCTCTCCCTTCTCCCCGTTCAGCAGCCACTCCTGAGCCCTATGAAGGGCTGTGTGCCCAGAGCTCTCCTCTCTGGGGGTGGGACAGACATTTCCTTTGGGCACTGCTGAAGGCCACAAGCCTCCTCCACCACTTGCCGTGTCCTCAGGAACTTGGATCCAGCTGCAGGTACCCACAGGTCTCCTGCCAACAGCTGGGTCCCCTGTCCCTGATGCCATGGTGATCTGCAGAACCTTCCTCAGCTCTGCAGGATGTCCAACCACCCTGCTCTGCTTGGGCACCATCCCCAGCAGCATTCAGGATGGTCCACACAGGCAAGGAGCTGGCTGGACAGGTTAGGAGGCACACATCCATCTTTCCTTGGCTCTCCCACCCCATGCCCCCAGTCAATATGTCTCTCTCCGATGAGAAAGTTAATAAATTTAGCTCTAGATTAAAAGTATCGATCATTTCATTCGTAAGCGATAAATAACCGGGGGGGAGCACTGGGCGGCCCATGGGGTAGGGGCTGCTGGCTCCGGCTGCAGCAGCCGTGCACCCCACTGGGGCCAGGAGCCCTCATATGCATTCTGCCCGGATGCTGGCATTGATTTGCTATTAGTCTCCACGCACCACCCAGTAGCACATCATTCCCAGAGCTGCTATTAATGGCCTTTTGATAAATAATCACTTGTAAGTCAATAAATTTTTATTAAACAGTGTGGCGCTTTGATTTATGAAAATCTGACGGGGTTTGTCTGGGAGAAAAGGGATGCAGAATTGAAGCGGAGCTGCCATCCATCTGCCTGCCAGACTGGGCTGCCTGTGCTGCACCCCCAGCGCAGTTGGCTCCCGGCTCTGCACAGGCACCAGGCACAGGGTGGGCAGAGCTGCTGCTGACTGCTCCTATCAGACCCCAGCGCCGATGGGGCACCACTCTGCTGCAGCAGCAAGTGGTCAGTGGGAAAGTGGGAGCCCTGGTGGGCAGCACAGGGAGGAGAGGGGGTCAGTCCTGCCCACTGCGCTGGGGCCCTGCGTGGGTCAGCACTGTTTGGGGTCCTGTCTCAATGTGGGGATGCACAGGGCAGCCAGGCTGCAGCAGCCATTTGTCACTCTCCCTGCCTACAGCAGGCCCTTTGCCACCTGCTTTATTTGTCTCCCAGCCCTGACGTGGCATCAGACAGGTGTTAAACTACTTAATCACTTTAAAATTGTTTTAATTTTCTGTTTTGTATTGATCGCCACAGCACCAATTAATCAGCTCACTGGACCAGGCAGTTAGTACATTAAAAATTGTCAGCCAAGCTGGGCAGCTTAGAAAATGTTAAAAAAATATCCCACCAGCAGCCCCTCACTTCTCTCTCCATGTGGAACCTGCTCCTGCTGAGCGCTGGCTCTGTCCAGACAGTGATGTGCCACCAGCCCCGTGCACCACGCTCCCTTGGGACCTGCCATCCCCCGTCCTTGCAAAGGGTCCATTGCTCTGCCCGGGCCCAGCATCTGCCCCATGGCAGCAGTGGAGGGGCTGCAAGGCTGAAGGGGGAGCATTACAAGCCCCATGCTCACTGCAGGGGCTGGACAGAGTCCTGTTCAGGGACAGGAGACCCCTAAGCTCTGGAAAAGTGGCACCGAGCAGTCAGGTCTCCTTGCAAAGTGCCCATAGCCCAGTCAGAGATTGAAGAGGGCTTTAGGCCAAGCATGGGCCTTGGCAGGGTGTACAGTGATGACCTGCAGCCCCCCAAGGCTGGAGCTCAGGGCCACTGAAAGGTCCCAGTGGTTCAGGACCTTCAGCTGTCCCAAGCAGGGACTCAGCCACCAGCCCGTTGCAGGTGCTGCCTGCAGCCGCAGGGAGGGGCATCCCTTCACCAGCCCCATTCCTACCCCTCCCGTGCCTGTGCCATGCTGCTAATCAGTGCCTGATGGGCCGGCAGCACCTTATCTGCTATCGATTTCCTCCCAAGACACAGCCCACGTGTTTGCTCACACCTGGCTGGCACTTAGCTGGCTCTTGGCTGAACAACTGCCAAGCTTGTCCGGCCTCAAGTGCTGTTGCCTGTGCCAGCTGGAGCTCCTTTGGCATCCTAAACAGGTAAGGAGAGCTGGCCCTGAGCAGCACCCACAGCTGGCATGCCACTGGTGAGCCACGGGGAGTCAGAACAGGGAGTGTGCAGACCCATGTGCACACACACGTCTCTGTGTGCAGCCCCCATTGCACAGCGGTGCAGCACAGAGCAGGGGGGGACCCAACAGGTTGGCAGGCAAACAGGCTGGGGCTATTGATGCCACATCAATCCTGCAGCCCCGACAGGTGAATGGGCTCTCACTCACATTGTTAAGATAAATTATATTTATTTGCTGCTAAGAGCGTCCAATAAGAGGCCCCAGTGAGTGACTTTTGAACCAGCAGCTCTTGCTGCTGGTACACGCCCAAGCCAGAGAAAACCTTGGGAAAATCTCCAGGGCTCCCCTGCTTCTGTGGGCACATCCTGTCCCACATGTAGCACCACAGCACGGCCCCTTCCCCTGCCTGGCATGCAGACCCTGCCCCATACATCCTATCCCCAACCCCTCTCTAGCCCAGCCTCACAAGGCCACCCTGGACCACATGCCCATGAAACAAGTGCTGGGACTTGACTGGGACCTTTATTTCATCAATGCCCATAACACGGCTGCACCTGACACTACCCCGTGTGCTGCTCCCAGCGCTGTGAGCCATGCTCCCATCCAGCTGTCAGCCCCCCACCCCAACAGCTGGGCACCTGCTGGGGAGGGGAGTCGCCCCCGGCACAGAGGGGCCGGCCGTGCTGGGGCTCAGCCGCTGTGCGTGCCCAAGCCCAGCATGGAGAAGGCTGCACGGTGCTTCCTCAGCAGCAGCCGGATCTTCTCGTCATCTGAGTCTGGGTCCAGGGGCTTGTTGTACTCGTCGTCCTCGGTCTCAGAGGCCGCCCGCTCTCCGCCAGAGCCCCCCGCCCGCTGCGAGGATGAGGAGGGCTCCAGGGCACTCTTCTTCCTCCATTTGGTCCGTCGGTTCTGGAACCAGACCTGTTGCCCCATCAGGGCCCAGCTCAGTTAGCAGCCGACATGCTGCGCACCCCGTGCCACACAGGAACCACTACTCACCTTCACCTGGGACTCAGTCATGCCAAGAGAATAGGCCAGCCGTGCCCTTTCCGGACCTGCCAGGTACTTGGTCTGTTCAAACGTCTTCTCCAGAGCAAAGATCTGGTGTCCTGTGAAGGTTGGGCGTGTGTGCTTCTTCTTGTGCATGCTGTCAGCCAAGTGAGCAGGGGCTACAGGAGAGGAAAAGAGAAGTGGGTGAGCCCTTGGCAGCCCATGACTCTGGACAGCTCTCCCTTTGTCCACACTCACCAGCCCTCAGTAACCAAAGAGTCCCTCCACACCTGCTCCTCTCCAAATTAAAACTGTATTCCTGCTTCAGGGCTTCAGCCCCATCCCAGGAGGGCTGAGCTGCCCACTGTGGAGGTCCCACAGAGCAAGAGCCAGGATAGGCACCTCCTGATCAAGGACAGTGCTAAGTGGTTGTGCTGAGAGGGTAAGGGTTGCTATTAACACTGCTTGACCCCAGAGCCACACAGCGCTGGGAACACTGTGCTCCCATGTCCCACACCTTGCAGGATGCATGACAGAAGACAGGCATAGCTGGTCATTGGCTCCCAGCTGTGTCAGGAGCAGATGGCCAAACTGCCGAACCCATCTGCTCCAAAATCATCACCTGCAAAGAGGTGAAGGGAACCAGAGCTGCAGGTTCTAAGCAGCTGCGCACAGCCTCCTGGGGCTTCCCATGGGACAGTGGATGCACCCATCCCACCTACCCTCTGGGACAGCAGCAACATGCTCTGGAATTCCCCGGACAGCTCACCACCAGGAAGGCAGTGCTGCCAGCCTGGGGCTCCGGGGCTGGCTGTCCTGCCTGTCTCTGCCATGAAATAACCAGGCACTGACCCTCAGTGAAACTGTTTGAGAGACAGGGAGATCTTGTGAATCAGAGGGCTCTGCCTGTCCTTGCCAGCTGTGGCTGCCTGGGGGCAAAGAATTAGTATTTGTCATTAGAGCTGCCCCTGCCCTTGAGCCAAAAAGTTCTGTGACCGTTTGAGGTCCAGCAGCTCCGGCACTGGGGTCCTTGCCACTGTCCTGGGCGAGCCTGCTGGCCAACCAGCTGTGGAAAAGACACATGCCCTTGCCCTGGTGCCGATGCCTCAGACTCAGCGAGGTGCCTGTCACCTGCGGCACCAACCACCCATCCCACACCCGGCCGCTCCGAGCCCGCGGTACTTACGGCCGCCGCACTGCCGGCCGCCCCGCCACTCCGGGGCCGCCTCCGCCCAGCAGCTCCGGCCCCGCGGCGGGTACTCGCCCCCAGCCTTGGGGAGGGCGCCCACCTGGGGCCCGTAATAGACGCCCGGGGAGCTCAGTCCGTTAAATCCGCCCGCGTGCGGGTAGCCAGGGAGGAGACCGCTGTTCGGGGTCGCCGCGGGCCGGCCAAGGATGTCGGAGATGCCGTGCGGGGTGCCAGCAGCCAGCTGGGCACCCAGTCCGGCGGGTCCCAGCTTGTAGAAGGAGCTCTGCACTGAATACTGGCAAACCGGTGCCTTGGCCTCGGGGAAGGGGCCCAGCGAGGGGCCGTTGAGCAGAAAGGTGCCTGGCAGGTTGGCATCCATGGCTCTAGCACCGAGGCGGCCCTCAGAGCCCAGAATCCCGGAGGTGCGATGGCTGGCCCATTACCGCCGGCCTGGGGGCTACAGAGCCCCAGAGTGCCCGTGGGAGCCTGGCTGGCAGCGAGATGCCGGACTGGCAGCGGGATGCCGGACTGGCAGCGGGATGCCGGCGGGGCCGGGCCGCGGGCAGCCCGGGAAGCGCCCGGTGACCCCGCGGCGCCTCCGGCCCCGGACCCTCAACTTGGGCCGGGGCAGCGCCAACACTTCTGATAAAGACGGGGATATTAGAATAACGCGCGCCCATTGGCCGGGCGGCTGCGGGCGGCGCGCCTATTGGTCAGGCCTCGGCGGCCGCGGCTGCCATTGGCTGCGCCGCAGCGGCAGCGCGCGATTGGTCCGGCCCAGACAAATTGCGCTTTGAACACCGGCGGCGGCGGCGGCGGCGGCGGCGATGGACACGGGAATGGGCCGGGACGGGATGGGACGGGACGGAACACAGCACGACACGGGAATGGGCCGGGACGGGATGGGACGGGACGGAACACAGCACGACACGGGAATGGGTCGGGACGGGATGGGACGGGACGGAACACAGCACGACACGGCAATGGGCCGTGATGGGATTGCATGGCACGGCATGGCATGGGAAGGGACGGGTAGGGATGGGCGGTATACAGGGCCGCTGCTCTGGGCTGCGCCTCTCGGGGCTCAGGAGCGCCGCTCCACCGGGACAGCCCCGCAGCGGAACGGACGCTTCCCCCATCGCCCACCCCGAGAGAGGCCGCCGCAGCCCCTCGGGGGTGCGCACCCTCCCGCTGCCTTCAGCTGCTCCGGGAATGGCAGAGCACACGGCCGCCCCCGCCTTCCCGGCAAGAGGGGACTCAGCCCCGGGGCCTCCGTCTTCCACACCTTTGGAAAAGCAGAGACGAGACACTGTTTGTGTTGATTTATTTATTAATTCATAGTCTGATAGCTGGTGTACAGGGAAATGATCTATACATCAGGGCCTAAGACAGGGAGATCCAAAAGGCTTGTTTTCATAACAATTAAAAAAAGAAAATAAAAGTAATTTTTTAAACTTCTAAAAAGCTTCTAGTGTGCAGACTGCAGCATTCTCTAGGCTCAGTGTTGGGTGCAGCCTCCCCCTACCAGCCCTACAAGCAATTTGAGCGCAAAGCAATGTCACTGCAGGTGCCTGGCACGGTTGCAGCACAGCACATTCCCTACGGCATACACAAGGCCAAAGCACTGGACCCACACACAACTCTAGGGTGATGCTACGGAGTCAGCTGTTGCAGTGGGTCTAGGGAGGTTATTGTACGCAGCAAGGGTGATGGATGGAGAGTCTGTGCCTCTATGGCTCAACTTTGGGGTGGGGAGGGGACTGCTTTGCTCTCCAAGGCTAAGCTGGGTCAGTTGCTTCACTGCAGCGAGGCTTCTTAGCTCCAGGGCAGCCAGGGGCTCTCCCAGCAGATGTGCAGCCACTGAAAGATAGGGCTGCCCTGCCAAGGCCAGCATCAGCCTGAAGCCACCAGCCTGAAGCTGGAGAGGCCCTTGTTCTCCAACTGGCCACAGAGAACAAATTCAGACTCTGCAAAGCAGATCCATGGCCATTCCAGGAGAAAGAGCAGGGAGGTCCCCACATCACTGTGCTACAAAGGCCAGGTCCTCACATCAGACAGGGTCAGGGAACTGGGACCAAGTGCCACTACCTTCTCCCTGTGCTCCTGGGGTCAAGTATCAAAACAGGTTCAATGTCCTGCACAACTCTGAGCTGCCTGGGCAGCTCTGCCCAGCATGGCTCTCCTGCCAGAGCAGCCAGGCTGAGGCTGCCCCAGCCCCCAGGGCTCAGGCTGTTGCCACAGCAGATTCCACCTGGAGAAAATGCAGCCACTGGGGCAGCAGCTCCCATGTCTCTGGGTTTGGTCCCGGGAGAGTCAGTATCCAGGGCTATTAACCCCCCTTGCAGGGAGGCCAGGGTCCCTGCAAAGCCCTTGCCTGGGGTGCGTATTGCACGGCTGTTGGCTATTACTAGCTCCTGGCTCATCTCCTGAGCAGATATTGTGCTGAGTAGAGCTAGGCACAACCCCATGTGTGGCACAAGCACCTCCTGCCCTCTCTCACATCCTCCCTGGGCCCCAAGCACCTCAACACAGGCCTACAGCTTCAACCCAGCTGGAGCCAAAACAAACTGGGGCTGGACCATGGGACTGCACTTCTAGACCCTCCCTCTTCAGGCCAGGAAGGGGCCAGGCTCAGGCAGAGGGGCACAGGACAGGGCCAGGCTGCTGCCCTCTCACTTCTATAGCCTTCCTGCTCCATTCAGTAGAGCTGCTCACATATTCCAAAGGCTTTGCCCATCCTGCAGCCTGAAGAGGTATATGAGAGCAGAGCTGTCAGTGCTTTGTACATACTGCTAGAGTGTCCCTAGGGGTTTGCATAGTATTTATTGGTTCATATACACAAGGCTGATTGCTGTACAGTTTACACTTTCAACATAAGCAACGAGCTCAGTGCTCAGCCCAGAGCTCTGCCCCGACAGGAGACTTTGCACGTGCTGAGGAGAGGAAGGACAGCCTTGCACCAGTCCCTCTGCCCTGCAGCTGTGCTCCCTGCAGCCTCCCCTTGCACCCTCTGGCCACTGCTGCCCTCCCCAAAACCTAACACTCACAGGGAGGGATGAGAAGCAAGTCCAGCAGAGGCAGCACAGGCATTTGCGGCGGGGGGGGGCGGGGGGCAAGCACCTCTCCTTCCATGGTGAGCAGTGCCATGCTGTCCCAGCTTTCCTCTTGCAGCTGGAGCACAGACGTGGGGATGCATCTACACACACAATCACACGGAGGTGGAATCTCTTTCCAGCTCTTGCCTTCCAAAGGAGCTGAGAGGATGCCCCTGGTGTGTGGTGCTGTCTCTGGGCTCCTGGCAGCAGCGGGGCAAGGATGGAAGCCCCTCATCTGTTTTAAGTACTGTAGCTCATGCGTCTTGCAGTCAGTCAGTCATGCGGATAGGACGGTAAGTATATCTCATACAGAAATCATGCCATTAGCCTATAGGAACATGTACAGCCAGCCCTGCTCCCCTCCACTCTCTGCTCTCCTCTCTTCTCAGGTATGTGTCAGAACGTGTGTGAAGTTCAGTGGTTTGGTGTTGAGGTGTGATCCTGGAGAGACACAGAGAGACACAGAAATGGGGTTACCAGGCATTCATGGTGGCACATCCAGAATAAATGGGGAGGGCAGCCAGGTACATGGCTGGGAAGTCCCTTCTGTACATTCTGTACACTGTGCTTGTCCCACATGCACCCATGCTGCCAGGCAACCGTAAGACAAGTTTTGGGGGGTGTCAGACAGTGACAGAGCACCACTAAGTGGCAGGGCGGAACTAGGAGCAATGACATGGATGGTACTGGTGGTGCTGCCCCATCTGCACAGAGCAGCAAGCAATGGCTGAGCTGCACCAAATGCAGCATGGCACTGGGAAGGAGCGGGGAGGGCTGCTCTAGGACCTGGGATGGAGGCCAGCCTTGAGCCCCTCACCTCAGCTAGGATGACTGACTGCACCCCACTCTCCCAGCAGTGAGGAAGACCTTCCCCAGTGCACACCCAGGAGCACTTCCACACAATAGGGCAGGCAGAGGGGGACAGAGTCTGCATGAAAATGTGCCTGCAAGCATAAGCCTCTTGATTTTCATACACCCCCAGAAAGCTCACTAACAGAGTGGAGAGAGGAGGGAGAGGGAGGACAGAGTGAGTCATGCATGTATAACAGAGGCCAGAGGTCCAACTGCCTCTGTTTGGCAGCCTCCTGCCAGGAGGCAGTGCCAGGCAGCTGGGGAGCCCTCATGCAACACCTTCCCCCAGTGCTGCCCTGTCAGCGCAGCAGTGAGTGCGCAGAGAAAAATGATGCATCTAGGCTCAAGTGTGCTGTGCCAAGCATCCTGCTTTCAACGTGGCCTAGTCCCACTCTTCAGGGAAGGCAGGGGGATCAGGGAATGCACAAGACTTAAGGGGCCATTCTGAGCTCAGTGAAGATCAATGGAAGATTCTAGGTCAAAGGCAGGTGCCCTGTTATCAGCCCCTACAAGTGCCATGTTCCTGCACCTGCCACTCCTGCATCCCTACTGCCCAGACATTCCCCAGCAGCACCCTGCCAAGGCCTGCCCCCATCCTGGCTTCAGCAGACCTCAATGCTTTCCTCTACATGGCTGGAAGAGGCAGCAGCTGCATCTCCCACAACAGTGTTGTGAGCAGAGGCAGTAGGCCACAGCCCCACGAAACTGGGACATCCTTCACCCGACCCACAGCTCTGCCAGTGCTCAAGCTGCAGGCCTTGGGAAGGGGGACACCAAAGCACCAGCTCCAAGGGCTGGTCTCATCTGCCACAACGCTGCACAGTTAGTGCTCATGCATGAAGGGGGTAGTTTTGCTCAGGCCCCATGCAAATGCAATCCAGTCCCTGGAGTGACTTGGACAAAGACCACCCCTCTGTCTGTAGCCCAGCATAACCTCGAGTAACAACTCTGTGACCCTGTCACTGGGGACCGTCACCCTGAGCACCCACGTGCTGCCACTGCAGCAGCAGCCCTTGGCACTGTGGCTGCAGTGGGGTGCTGCGCACACAGCTGGCTGGAGCATCACTGCAGACGAGGACTCCCTATGCCCACAGCTCCCAGGAGCAGCTTATCAGCAGGGGAACACTGCTGCCCACCCTCAGGCTTTTGCTGCAGCACAGCAAACCCTCTCTGCAGGCCAACAGCTGCACCACACTTTCCCCAGGAGAATGCATGACTAGCAGCTCAGTGCAGGCAGCAGCATGGAGAGCCAGGACAGAAGGAAGAGCAAAGGTAGGGTTACCTCAAAAGAGGCCATTTGAGGGGTCACTGCTTCCCCCTTTTCAGGCTGGCTCGTTTCACTATCTGAGCCCCCATCCTGCCCCCAGAGACCTCTGGTTTTGGGACACGCACTCGCACCTCCTCCTGAGGAAGCCGAAGGGGCAGGAAGCAGAACATCACCCAGGAGAACAGATGGACATAGAGAAAAGGACAGGAAAGGGAAAGGCAGAGTCAGTTGGCAGGCAGAAAACACCAAGCAAGAAGACTGGTGCAGTGGGCAAGATTTGCCTTAGAAGTCTTAGAGAGGAAACAGGAAAGGAGTGCAGGGCAGAAGAAAGGACAGAGGGTTACATTGACCCAAATCCTGAGAGCCCTGCCAAAGTACTGAGAGTCCTGGGTGCTGGCCCAGGCAGGCAACCTGCAAGGCAGGGCTATGAGCCACACTGTACCTTGGTGCCCAGACCATCCCGGTGCAAGATGGAGTATTTCATGAAGTGGTCATCCTCAGCCTCCAGGTCTTGCGAGCCCTCCAGAATCAGCTCCTCTTGTTCCTGCCTGTCACCCATGTCACCAGGGCCCAGCTGACGCACCACCTTCCGGATAATCTGTGGAGACCCACACAGCTGGGTGTCACAGTGAGCTCCAGGGCACCATGACTCCCTCCTCACCCAGTCTGGTCCTAAACTGCACGTGGTGTGCAGTCTCTGTCCCATGAGCTGGAGAAGTGCCGTGACTGTAACCGAAGACAGCGGGACACGAATGCCCTACATGGCCCCCGGGCTACAGGGGCGGAGGGGAGAAGAAAAAGGCTGCGGCATGACCGTACCCATATCCTGCCACTGATCACTCACCTTCTTGGTGACGATATTGCCTTGATCATCTGTGAACTGCTGCTCAGTCACCTGCTCTCCAGGGAGATGAAGGGCTTCATTCCCCTGCAGGAACAGGAGGGAGA